CTTTTATATTGTGGGTACCAGTTGTAAAGGGAGCCCGTTCGGAAGGGTGAGCCGTCTGCTTTGATATCTTGGTAGGTGGCGACGAGATCTGTAATCTGCTGTCGCGAAGCGTTGAAGAAAAATAGGTTCTGTAAATAATCTACGACATGATCTGTGGTTGTCAAATTGTTCTGGAATAGAGAAAAGACAGTGCCTTCATCTTCTTGGTCGCCGACGATGAACGGCACCGAGGCGTATTTGCCCTGGATGACCAGTTGTTCTGGTGATTCAGTTAGGACCGTGCCATCTGGACGAGGCAGATATGACTCGGCGACAGAATTATAACCCAAGATGCCCGGAACCGAGTTGGCAGCGTTGAGAAACTTGGTGTAATCCAGCCCGCGTAGACATTCGAGGGTGTCACTGGCGCCACTGCAGCCAGCGCTGTTAACAACAGTATCATATACACCCTGGCCTTTTGTGCCGTCAACGGGATTTGCAGGAACAATGCTGCCAGAGTTCATGATGGCACTGCGAAAAAGCGGTGCACCGTTGTATGTATTATCGCCATCATATATGGCCATCTGATCAAACACTGAGATGGCGCCAGCAGACTCACCCCAAATGGTCACCTTGGACGGATCGCCCCCAAATGCGGAGATGTTGTCTGCGACCCATTGTAACGCAAGACGCTGGTCCATAAGTCCAAGGTTGGCGGAGCCATCTTTCAGGATCTCTGCGCCCGGCAAGAACCCGAACCCCCCGAGACGGTAGTTCATGGCCACAAAGATGACTGGCATGCCCAATTTCACAGAGCTCGCCACAAAGTTTGATCCATCGTAGATAGGGGTGGCACCTTGTTCAAAGCCACCACCAAAGATCCAGACCAGCACTGGTAGCTTTGCGTCTGGGTGAGTTCCAGAGGGGCGACGTACATCAAGAGTCAAACAGTCCTCGGCGGCATTGGTAATCTCCTGAAAGATTGGGACGTTGGTTAGCGTCGCAATTATAGAGCTAGGGATGTCCTTTTTGTCATTGCTGAATAGGAATTGTGGGCAGGACTTCGCGGTGGAAGTAGCCTTGATAGTCCCGAGGGGTGTCTGTATCGGTTGAGGTGGTTTCAACCTAAGGAGGGCAGTTGGAGGAAGTGCGAACGGGATGCCATTGAACTTATCAATCTCCTTGATATCCGTGGAGCCGATGACAGTAGCTTCGGGCTTGGAGATAATAACAGTTGGGTTGGCTGTTGCTGCTTTCTTCTGAGCTGGGACAGCCCAGACCAGAGTTAAAGTAGACAACAAGATCAGTGTCCAGATGGAAGACATTGTGGTTCTTTCTTGAACTCGTTAGTTGAGGTTTTAATCCACTATGGATTTTATTTCTCCCTTGGCCTGCAACCCTCATGTTGAGTGGGCAATCAAGGGATATCTGTAGAATGTCCGTTTCCCCCTCTGTTGATCCCCATGGCAAGTTTCGATGGACAGGTTTCATAATCTCATAACTCACAGAGCTCGAGCATCTCTCCCTTCTGTTGAATTCCGATATCCTTTCGGCTTTGGCACTTGGTATGTCCTGCCGACAACTGAGAAGAAGTGGAGAGGGAATTGCCATAACTCAAGACCGCTGATCAGCCGGTGCCCTGATCACGCGGTAATTGTGCAATGCAGTGCAGGGTATCTTGCATGGGGGTTATGGTGACAAAAATACAACCACTGTGCTTGGATGGCACAATCCATCGAGAGGAGTGGCCGCCGAGAGGAATGCATGTCGGACGAAGAATGCTCTGGAAAACAAGTTCGGTCAAGTCCGCAAGGGGCGTACCTAGTTATATCGTATGTTTAGTCATTTTCTATGATGACATGAGTAAAATGTACTTTTCCGGGCAACTCGACATTTCTAAGCCAATATTACGCCCGTGGAGTTGGAAGATCTGACTGGATGAACCCACCGGCTTGGTTTTTACCTCTTGATTGCTTCTATATCAGCGAGTCTACTAAATCTAAGAACTTGTGAAGCTATGATAGGTCTGATTCGGCCAATCAGGTGGGAAGGGATGGTGGGCTTATACCCCGGATTCTGCAGGTTCTCCCCCTAGCGGTAATTCCACGAGGTCTACATGGGGGTTTGGCTGCCGTGGATGCAGGCCAAGTTCCGGTCTGTCAGCTGCGATGCAACAAACCCCCCTTATTGGATATTATTGAATGATCGAGATGCTGCGATATACGCAGCTGTCAAACAGGGAATATAACCAATAACCAACTAGGTTGTATAAAAAAAAGAAATTGGGGTTTTTCTATGCTCTATGCTAAATATGTCGTTTTCTTTTCCCCTGATTGTACTGCACCTGGAAGTAGATGTGACTGGGGCTATGTAGTCGTGGGTCTCACTGAAATTCTCACCGGAGAACCTCTCAAAGACTACTCAGAAGTCTCAGGCAGGTAGGAATCATGGGTTCGCATGTCGCATTACCAAGCTTGAGGGCAAACTTCGTCATTGAGCCGACTTAGCTAGCTTCGTTGCGACCTTCCGATAATTTGAAGCCGTGATAATATCCATGAAAACATGCAAGTCCGGAGCCCGGTGCACGTTGTGCCCTCCTTTCTTCCGTTTCTAGTAGGTTTGTTAGAGGTGCTAGGGCCTGGGACAAAACTACGCAATAGCGCGCGTCATGAGAGAGCCTGAAGCTTTTTAACATCTATACGGAGCCCATTCAAGCAATTCACCTTTGTCGGTGTGACCGGAAGTAAGTAATAAAGGAAATGAGGGTTGGATTCTTCTAAGAGGCTGTCTTTTCCAGAGCTGATTACTTCGACTTTTGGTGCGATCGATCAGGTTCGCTTTGAAGAAGGGAGTGTAAGTACCTGTCGCCACGATTGCAGTGGATCAGAGTAGGGACTGTTGCCAGGGTAATATAGTTTCCCACGTATAGGTGTCCACACCAGACTTGCGAGTGCGAGCTAGGGTGTATTTCAGTTGAGTCAGAATCATGATTGGGTTGATCCAGATCCTAAGGAAACTCCGAAGGTCCAATCGAGAGGGACTGCGGGCTGGGAGGTCGATCTCGAATCTCGCTTCCGTCCAAGAATAGGACCCCCCACCTCCCGCCCATTATGAGAGCTTGCCAGTGCGACCTAGCTAGGTACGAGGGCGAAAATCATCCTTATATCCATCTAGCTTTCCTTCTTGGGCATGTTCATGTAAGCCGAGGTGGCATCGGATAACGGTCAATATCTTCGCTAAATGGATCTAACTTTCCCCTCAGAAATGTGCGGCCGATCAGAGCAGTTTGAGTTGAAATCAGGTCGAGGAAAGACCTTGGCTTGGTACTCTAGCTGTTGATCCGACGTCGAAGGGGATCGGAACCCAGATCCTGATCAGATGGATGCGGTTCCTTCCAGGGAGGAATTATCGGAAGGACTTGTAGGTACGATCGAGAAGACATCTGGGTCGGAAGAAGGCTAGGTTGACCTGGCTTTCCTATAAGTTACTTGTGCCAAACTTATCAGTATGATCGGGGTTTGATTGAAGTCAAGATTGACTTGACTATAAAGCCCCTTCCCCAATCCCAGTTTAAATCGCACGCGGGGACTTGCACTTATTATAAGGAGCACGGATCAATTCCCCCTGGTGCCTGTGCTAGACCGCAATGACACGGTGTCACGGTCTATTTTAAAAGGTGGCTAGGTCGATCCGCAGGATGATTTGGAAGGGAGTATCGTGGCGAAACAGAATGCGATCGGGGGATAGATCAGTGAGGGAGGATCGTGATGATTTTCATGAGATTAATAAAATTTCGAGTGTTATTTGGAATTGATAATCGAGGTAACCTGGTATCGGATCGGGGTTGAGATCTTGGTCAAACCGAAATCTGATGCGTTTTTAAGATTGTACCGGACAGTGTAATATGAGGTACGTACCGGACCCTTGTGCTGGCTGAGAGTATTTCCTTATGTCCAGATAGAACCCGGGAGGAGGCAATGTGAGATGGACCGCCAGTCAGTAGCCACCATGGCCCCCATCGGGTCCTTCCTCGGCGAGACAGAAGCACCGAGCATGTGGAGAAAAAAACGTGCTAGGGGCCGATGGAATTGTTGGGGGAGGGGTGACTTTCTCGTTAGTTTCGCAGATCTGGCAGCGATGGCCATAGACTCAAGTTTAGCATCAGCAAGGGGGTGCTGATCGATTCGAGCGTTGTTGGCTTTGAGAGCTAAAAGTATTGAAATAGAGGGCCAAGAGGAGGTATTGATGTAACTACGGAGTACGGAGCAGATTATATCACAAATAATAAATGTGATAGATTTGATAGATGGACGTGCATCGCCGCTGAGAAACAGTGTCTATGGAATTACGCTCTTTTTTGCAATGGTTAATGGTCAGATCAGCTTGATCTATTCAGTACGGAGTACAGGCTTTTGCAATATCAAATTGGTTTATCCATATGGTTCGATGGTCTCGGGATTCTGCTATGCGTATTGTCCCAATCGCTCGAGTCTCGAGTCTCCGTGAAAGCGAAGAAGAGATACCGCGCGATAGCCACTTCAATGTCATTTGATGAATCTTTGGATTTTGCAGTGGTTTTGCGTGTTAGGGTGTGAAATAAATTTCTGGTAAAGTCATCGGCAATGGGGAAACTTGAAAGGAAAAGAGAACGTGAAAAGATGAAAAGATGTTAGCAGTCGGAGAATAATTGCCAGATGTTTTAGCGGGAGGTAAACACATCCTTTCCGGTCCCTTCAAGGCGACCGAGGCGACCAAGGCTGCATGGTCACGATCATAATCTGACATTGCAACAATGCAGGTATGCGTGGTCACGCGAGTGGATACAGATCCACTCGAAACAAGGCAGGCCAAGTCAGCTTACACAACTGGGTACTAGTAGTTCCATAGACATGCGACCCGCCATATGTATGTGATGTTATCCTCCAATCAAAAAGTAATGAATGGAATCCACAAGGACACAGTGGTCAATGCAGTACGGAGTACGGAGTATAGGTGGGCAAGGTTGTCTGGAGTATCGCCACATGGGACCTGCGCTAAGCGGTGAACGTGCCAAAGTGAGCAAGGAGCCAGCGACATTGATAAACGTGCCAATAATCCAGAAATCACCCTGGTGTGTGCGTGCAAGTGTCACTAAACTTTTGATATCTTGGCAACGCACCAAGGTAGACGTTGGATGGGACGACCCGCCAGCTTCGCGCGAATTCACATCAAACACAAGCGTTCTGAGGGATGGTAAACTGGATATTCCGGATGCTCAAACGATTGCTCATTGCGGATACTACTCGTACACAGTAGTTAAAGAAACGAGGAAACGACACATGCGACATGATTATCCTAGAATATCGGACGATGTGTGGGATAGACTGGAGGGAATTAGAAAGGGCAACCAGGATGCCTAATCGCATGAGACCGGGGGAGATAGACCGATAGCTTCCAATAAAACAGGTAGTCAGCTTGATAGTCATGAGGTTATAGTATTCCCGGGGCACCGACGGCCCAAGAGACTGCCAATGCATGAAAGCAGTTTGTAAAAGCGTCGGGTAATTGATGGCAATGTTAGAAGGTCCAATCACACCATGTCTCACTTCTCCAAGGGGGAAGTAATGGCAATTTGACCTTGAGCCTAATCAGTTGAGGCCCCACACTTTTTGCCATCAGGTGTGGTTCAAGTAAGTTGATTGGTTAGGGGGCCATGTGCGGGATTTCAAAGGATATCAGTTATCGCACCTCGGTTATCAGCCGTTCTTTAAAGGGATTGGGTAGATGAGGTCGCCAAGCAAATAGGGTTACAATGGAACCTACCAGCCAAGCGGCATGGCGCGGGGAGATACTCGGTCAAACCGTGCCAAGCCCTTGCCAAGCAACGCTAAAGCAACGCTAAGTGACACGAAGTGGATATCAAAACCGGGGGGGCCTAAGCCCACATCAGCTCTTTGATTGGACGATCCAAGTCTTGTTGAACATTAGCCTTCAGGGATCCCTTTTGATTTGGAACAACCTTGGAAAGCTGGAACTTTGCTTATCTCGTCCAAAGGAAAGTGGTCAGGCCGGATGAGCCCGAAGCTCCCCATTGGAGGCACAGATCCCAACAGGCTTAATCTAGAAAAAGTACTAGACGCAGGGTCTCTTCCGGCTATTGACGGTTTCTGCCATGTCCGCCGTCCGCGACCTCCCTAATTCAGACATTGCCCCGGGTTCTAGAATGGAGGAATGTGAGAAATGACCAGTGGAGCTCTTGGAAGTCACAGCTAAACGGTTCCGCTAGTCACGCCATGGGACATATAATTCCTTCACCTCGCCCTCCCGCAAGTCTTTCTTTCTTTCTTTTTTTCTGTTGTGTGTTTCATCTCCTATATCTCTGGATCCCAGAACCGCCAATATGAATGCCAGCGATCCTGTCGATGTGGCTGAAATTGCCAAATCAAAGGCAACCTCCCACGATGTCGGTATCAACGAAAAAGCCCCCGTGATTGATGAGTTGACCATCGACAATGCCCCCCTGCGGGAAGTATCAGTCGAAGGTGATTATCTGGATAAAACTAGTCCTACCGAGGAAGAGCTGGCCACTTTGCGCCGTGTTGCCGGCAACTTGCCCGTGGCTTCATACAGTGTTGCCTTTGTGGAACTATGCGAACGTTTCTCGTACTACGGTGCTACTGCTGTTTGTATGTGGTATCAATAAACGTTGAAAAGAAGGAGGATAGATGGCTGACCTGAATTAGTTGTCAATTTTATTCAGCGACCTCTGCCCACCGGATCCACCACTGGTGCTCTCGTTCCAGGCGTCTCCGACTGGAGCAACGATTCACCCGGAGCTCTCGGTATGGGCCAACAGGCCTCCACTGGATTGACATTGTGTAAGTGATATGTGGTCTCGATGGATTCCCTTCATCACTAATTTCCCTAATCTGCACAGTCAACTCCTTCTGGTCCTACATCATGCCTCTATTTGGTGCCATGGTTGCTGATCAATGGTGGGGTCGTTACCGCACCATCATGTCCGCGATTGCCTGTGCACTCGTTGGACACATCATTCTCATCATTTCCGCCATTCCCAAGGTTATTGAGAGTCCCAACGGAGCCATTGCATGCTTCTCTATTGGTCTTATCATCATGGGTGTAGGAACTGGCGGTTTCAAGGCCAATATTTCCCCCTGATTGCAGAGCAATATCGCGAGGACAGGCCCTATGTCACGACACTTGCTTCCGGTGAGCGTGTCATCGTTGATCCGTCTGCCACTGTTGCCCGTATCTACATGTACTTCTACATGATGGTCAATATCGGTTCTTTTGTCGGTCAAGTCGCCATGGTCTACGCCGAGCGATATGTTGGTTTCTGGCTCTCTTACCTACTCCCCACAGCCATGTTCTGTCTGTGTCCTGTTGTCTTGCTTGTCTGCAAGAAGCACTACATTCTCACTCCTCCCGGTGGATCAATCTACCCCAAAGCTTTCAAAGTGTCAATGTTGGCGATGAAGGGCCACTGGACCCTGAACCCCGTGCGATGGTGAGCTACGTCCCGTCTTGTTAACGCCCGTGTTACACCTACTAACCTTCCTCTGTAGGTTCAAGAGCTCTGGTGTCGATATTTGGGCTGCCGTCAAGCCCAGCCATCTCGGAGCCAGCAAACCCGCGTGGATGGACTTCGACGATGCGTGGGTTGATGAGGTTCGCCGAGGACTGCTCGCATGCAGAGTGTTTTTGTGGTACCCCCTTTACTGTACGTGGAAAGTTCTTCCCTGTTATATCCGCACATTCTGACCATATTTAGGGCTCGCCTACAACCAGATGTTGAACAACTTGACATCTCAAGCGGCCACCATGAAACTTGGAGGTGTCCCCAACGACATCATCAACAACCTCAACCCCATTGCGCTCATCATCTTCATTCCCATCTTCGATCATATCGTATACCCTGGTATTCGCAAGATGGGTTTCCACTTCACCCCCTTGAAACGTATCACGGCCGGTTTTATTGTGGCCGCCCTCAGCATGGTCGTTGCTGCGGTCACCCAGCACTACATCTACAAGTTAGGGCCCTGCGGTAACCAGGCCAACATGTGTCTAGAGGTTAAGCACGAGCACACCAACATCTCTGTTTGGGTCCAAGCCCTGACCTACATTATGGGTGGTATTTCCGAGATCCTCGCATCCATCACTTCCCTCGAGTATGCCTACACCAAGGCCCCGAAGAATATGCGATCCCTCGTCCAGGCTGTCTCACTCCTGATGAATGCCTTCTCATCTGCCATTGGTCAGGCTTTCATTGGTCTGGCTGATGATCCTCTCTTGACTTGGAACTACACCGTGGTTGCTATCCTCGCCTTCCTGGGTGGTGTTGGATTTTGGGCCACCAACTACAAGTTGGACGCCCAGGAGGATGCCATGAACATGCTTCCAGACAGCGAATTCACTCCTCACACGGTAGTGGATGAGGAGCGGAAGTAAAGAGACGATCATTTTTCGTATCGAATGAGATATGTCAGGATGAAGTAATGGTATATATGGATGGTTCGGTCCTGGCATGATTGGCTAAAACTGAACATAAACAAGTATAGTTTTCAAGACCATGAATACCCATTGAAATGATATTTTATTTAATCAACTCTGTTCCGCCGTAAGCTATGTATTTTGTTGTCGTTGGATGGTTTGTTGCCTTTTTGGGACTATACGTAGCGTAGTCCCAGGAGCTAGGACTTCCCTCCGAAAACATTTGATGGCTTATTTAGTTTGTAACCCAATTTGGGAACCCAGACATATTACTAGTTTAGGTCTAGGTTTTACTAGGTTATACAGCAGACTAGTTTAGAAGCACTTTGTACAATAGCCTAACACGGTAATTTCGTTCGATGGGGTGATAGAACCAGGAGGCGATGTTAGTTTGGGTTTATTGGTTTGATCGGAGATCGACGTCACGATTGGGGTAAAGGTAGGCACCAGTAGAATGGCGGATGGCATCCAGTCGTTGTTGGAGGTTAAAGGGGCGAAAGTTGGGCCTTACGTAGACTGTGGCTCCTCTGAGCTGTTGGCCGTGCTTACTTCGCCCGTATTTGCGTCGAAGATCAGGGTGTGATCTAGTTGAACACCAAGATATATAGGTATCATATGTGATGTATGACGCAAAGCAATTTATTCAAAATTAGGTACTACAAAGCCATACGAATACAATATATGTAGTAAAAAAGCAAAGGATAGCCGTCCTCAATGACAAAACGTGACACAAGCAGACTGTTCACCATAAACAAGAGCAATTGACATCACTCAGCAGGGGATAAGTTCATCCGGTTTAGGGTGCGGAGTGCCACCGCCCGGAAGTCGTCGATCTTAAGTTGTATCATTGGGTTTGGTGACCCCGTGAATGCCGGGTCAGAGATCAGATGAGGGCCAAACATCCCTTAGCGATTGAGTTCGATTGAGTTCGATTACTTGCGTTCGATTACTTGTGGGATGGCTTTCTCCGTTGGCTAGAGGAAGACCTAAACGCTATTGGTAAATATTCCAATTAAACTCGAGACCTTGGATATACCTCTCGTTGCCAACGAATCGGCATCCCATTCCGATCTCGAACGTAAAGTTCACTGAACCCGCTCACCTGTCTCGTTCGACTCTTAAGTTTCCACTTCAGAAGCACAACCGCTCGGACACCTCCATCGCCACCAACCAGCAGAAGGTTCATATCACTGAACAAGTCATCCCAACGCTCACCCCACCCGCACTCGATGGCGAAAGATGGAAGCATGTCGGAGTGGCATCGGATGAATAGATCCGGTTCTTTTCGTGAAGTAACATAGGGACCCGACGGAAACTGTAGTGCTGTAGGAATTTAGTATATCAGAAGTCAATTGAGAGAAGCGTATATGAATATTTAGTGGTCGAGTGCGGTGTGGTGGAAATAAAGGGCGAAAATACCTGGTCCGGGCAGCTTCTTCTGCTTGCTCTTCGGGTCGTGACATATGTATCCAGTGGTGTCATTAGGTTACATTATGCTGGAATGTGAGGTTGTACTGTGCCCTAGTTGAACTAAGGAAATAAATTCGATTTCAATCAATCAATCAATCAATTAAAGTTCGATTAACCTGTTGCAGTCTAACTAGTTGCGTATGAGAAATAACCATATAATGATTGTCGTAGGGTGCACCTCCCACCTTACATCTCTCGCATCTTTCACTTCTCTCTCTCTCTCTCTCTCTCTCTCTCTCTCTCTGTGTGTGTGCTCTCTCCCCTACCTCAGTTTCAGTTGATGGTGACGTTTTCATGGCTAGTTGATTGGCATGGTTGTCGACTTTGGCTGAATTCTCGTCTCCTAGCATCGTTCTCGTAATTGGCTAATACCCGTCGTCTTCTTCACCTAGAACCATTGCCGCGAGGCCTGTCGATTCGTCGTCGTCATTTTCCTCCTTGATCCTAACATGTTGAAACTGCTGGAGACCTGTTTGGTGCATAAAGTTGACCACGTAGCGGGTGGCCTGCGGGTTCGATACGATACTGTCGTAATATATCTCGTTGATCCCAATACCCCATAATTGCTCCCACAATTTTGTGCGCGGCACTACGTACCGTGAACACTGCATCAGGATGTGTCTTGGCGTCTGTGAGCCCTCGTCACAATTGCACCGGTCAGTCTCGGCTGCCTTGATTTTAAATAAGTGTCGAAGGCCAATACGCATTGTACGCATCTGGATCAAGATCGCACACTGTGGCTTCAACAACCCTTCGTATAGTCGGAGGGTCTTTTTGTTTAACGCCTGCACCAAGCGCTTCGTCGGGGCGGAGGTTATCTCCCGCTCCCACTGCTTCTCCCACCTCTCTCTGCTGTGGTTTAACCTTAAATCTATCCCGAAAGTTTAACTTTATTCTTTCGAAAAGGGGCCGCTTTGTGTACACTGTGTTACTAGAGTTACCCGTTGGTTGGATCTAGTCTGGATTTCTGGTATTAATTTGTCCTGATGGAACTGAAATCTATTCCTTTTATTTGCAACTCACTTGGAAGGTCCAGTGTTGGTAAATAGAGTCGTGTTCAAGGTTCAAGGGTTCGGACTGTTGATAGTAGAATTTGATCCCATGGAATATGCTGGAGAGTGCACGGCACGGAGGTTGTGATGCTGCCTGCACTGGTTTGATACAACTAGACGGTGTAAATGCCATCACTAGTGAATTAGGTAGCTCGCTCGTGGGGGAAGGTGATGGCCAGGATCCCCATCAACAAGATATTGAAGGAAACCACATGCCAGTAACTCACTATATAATAAGGCGAATTCTAACGAGGGGATCTAGGCGTTGGTAGATATTCCAGAGTTTGAACAATATAATACGTGCAAAGCGGAACTCGGCCCATAAGTATTGTGGATGGGAATTTAGCGAGGGCAAGTAGGGCGGGCTTACTACCAACTTGTCAGATCCTGGTTTATGTTTTGCTGTCGGCGGCAACGTGAAAACCAGTGAGTCCCCAGTACATAATTTCACTAGGACTCGGAGAATATAGAAAACTTTAGGCTGTTAAGAAGATATTTCAAGAGATATATCACCATAAAGATTCTAGACGCAAGTCCAGATGATTCGGGTGTTGTTCACTTTAACGTAGTTGCAGATAGCGACAAGGGCTAGCCTTGATCTGAATATAAGCCTAAGGCCTATTTGAAGAGAAGAGTAGCTCATTGCTTGTCTTTTTCAAAACCGCAGACGTAAGATTTTGCACCCTAGGAAACCAGGTGGATGGATAAGAGTTTGCGACGGTTTTATAAAGCACGGCAAAAGTGTTAACCTTGGAATCCATGTCTGCTTACCTAGAAATGCGTTCCCTCCAGCATTCCGTGCGACCGCTTTAATGTAACTACTAGGGAATAATAGAGGGGTTTGAGGACCTTCCCCTCAGTTGAAAAGCGCGGGAGAAGCAATTATTGGGGATGATGCTACTTACTAATCTATATACGCATCCATGGATACAGGGAGAACCCCAGAGTTCTAAAATACCACACCCATGCATGGAGGTGGATTGACAAGATCTGCACCGAACGATCTACATCGTAGTTGTCACACATGCTGTGTGCTACTCCGTACAGCGAGCTAACATTGTTCACCCAGGCCGAGGGTGTACGACATTAAAATGCAAGGGGGCCATGATCACGGTGGTAGTATGATGAGGGTAAACCATGGAGGGGTCCTTTTACTTTACATAATTATTTTCTCCTTAAGTATGTTGTCTTTGGATTAAGGTGGTATCTGGTATTCAGGCCGATAAGCTATCTGGCGAGGTTGCTTCTATAAGCTCATTAAGGCGGTATACGTGAACCACAGTGCATCTACTACAACTAGCTAAGTATGCATGATGCATAGTTATATATTGATATGCTACACAGCCAGCGAAATTTCTCTGTTGGGGCTTGCTTGAGCTCCTGGAGATTTTATATTCTAGTTATAAGGGCGCTATATTAGCGATAGAATTGATAATGGAACAAGAATATTCGACCGCCTATGCGGCCTTGTCATGTCTCTTTAGATGTCTTTTGAAGTTGAATACAAAAGCAGAATACTTTAGGTACGAAACTTTTCTACGTATAGCCCTCGATTAATGATGGGAAGGTAGAGGAATGAGGTGAGAAATGGCAGCTTAGTACGGAGTATGTGTAAACAATATTTGGAATACAATCGCAGTCTGAATTCCATTGCCCGTTTTAATATTACATGCAAGGCGCTCGATCGCTTCGAGGCCTGATAGATGGGGGCATCATCCAGCCTGTACCCTTCCAGCCATCACGCGACAATACCGACATATACATATGTGCGAAAGGATCACGGCTCAGTATTCTTTCCCTCCTTGGTGTTCCAGTATTCAATCAATGGATTGACGGCAGGGTACGGGCGAGTGGGAGAATATTACAAGTGAGAGAGGGCTGTGAAACTGACATAAACTTGCCTCAACGAGCGAGAATTGGATGTCACTGCAGGCTGTTGGATAATTAAGAGGCCTAGTGGAGGGGTCGGCTCGGCCCGGGTATGTAAATTTTGACTGCAGATCAATTGAGGGCTTCACAGAAGCAATTTTCCAATATTATGTACATGCTTTACGGAGTACGAAGTAGTGATGTACGTAGGAGAAGGATTTGTCTTTACCATGTCGGAAACCGTCGGGGTGGAGCAAACTTGCATCATGCACGAGTCCACCTAGTGAATAAGACGTGTGTTCGGAGTAAGGAGTATTCCGTATGTACCTAGTAATGAGATCTGATGTGGATGTTGAGCCGAAATGATCACCGCCGATCTATCGGCTGTGCACCCATTAGCATACAATCTGCGGGCCGCATCACGGTGAGACATATGATCTTGACCTGATGAGGGTCGCTATGAGTCTCGCATGTAAATCTTAACTCATCGGAGAATAATCCCTGCCTTGCCAAGGGTTTAGATTGAGAAATTACCCACATTGAGCCCACATGTGGGATATGCTATTGGTGGTCACAAATATGTAACATACCAGCTGAAGAACATAGCATAGCTAACAACCACTATTTAAATCATGCATTTCAGCAGGAAGATGTCATAATCAGTGATCAAAACTGACAAGAGGTGAGCAGTAAAAATGAGAGGAAAATATTTCTCGGGGTTAGAGGTTTAGAACATTATCCTGTAAGTACACGAGAATTGAAATATTTTCCACTGCCCAACAGTATCTTCGGATGTTTCGATTCACGGGGGCATGGGGGCATGGGTGGAATGTATGTATGATATTATAGAATCACGATCGGATCAATAATCCCAATTGGTTTGTTCCGGCAGCCCTAAGATCGAGTTATCCTCCGGATGCAAGGTTAGCGCTGCCGATATCCCCAGCTGACTGTTATACAGTGATCACGGTTCATCATAGGATTGAGCCCTGCAGCCATTACCCCTCCTCTATTGGACAACATTCCATGTGTGGGTTGTCATTGACAGTGGAAAAGGAAGTCTATAAATATGGGCTAATTCCCGGAGATCAACGCAATAGGCGCCTTTCCGATTCATTTCGTATACTTACAAAGTATCATTCGACACTATACACCATTCGCTCTATCCAATATGGTTCAGTCAATGATATGTCGTGTGCTTGGAGTGCTATCACTCAGCATGGTGGCCATTGCATCTCCTGTCCAACTAGCTCGCCGGGGTGAGTTCCGTTCCACCTACGGAGTCCAACAAAACACAATGTCCAATCTAACGATGAAAATACATCAGCAATCTCAAGCGAGCTACTGGAACGATTCACGCTGTTTTCCCAATTTGCCACCCTATCGGCCTGTGATCAAAATATCAACCACACGGGCCAAAGTCTGACCTGCGACTATGGGACCTGCGGACTCGTGGCAGCCGACAACACGACGGTGATCAACGCATTCCACAGCGATAACGGACCCACAGGCTATATTGCCCTAGACCACACACGGCAACTGATCGTCCTAACATTCCGCGGCACGGTATCGAAAAGCGACGGCGACACCGATCTCGATATCGTTCTCACCCCGATTGACGACGTGTGTGCCGGATGCAAAGCGCATCATGGGTTCTGGGTTTACTGGAGCGCTGTAGCGAGTCAGGCGACCACCCAGCTTCAAAAGGCAACTAGCGCGTACCCGGGCTACAGGCTGAGCGTTGTAGGACATAGTCTGGGTGGGGGTATTGCGGCGCTAGCGGGGACTGCTCTTCGAACACAGGGCTTCACTTTGGATATTGTAAGTTGGGTTTCACAACATGACAGCAGGATAGTTG